TATCTGTGGTTTTGCAATTGCAGTTCCCTATTCTAAAAATGTTTCTCTCTGTCATGTTGCTATGTGAAAGACCCATAAAAACAGAGAAACTGACTGTGCAGGGGAAACAGTGTCAAAACAAAGTTAACAGAGTAGACCACTGAGAAAAATAATTCTCCAGTCGTTTTTCCTGATGATAATCCTACATGCTGTTTTTAACAATAGCAGGTTAAAGAAGAGAATCAAGACATTTTCTTTTCAGTGGATAGCCTCCTTGTTCTAACATGATTTATGAAAAACTCTCATGAAATACAAAAATATATTAAAAATAAATAAATGAAAACAAGTCTTTGTAAGTATCAATTGTAATTAAGTTTTTATTCCCCAAATATCAGATAAGTATTAAGTGTTTCAAATAAAACTCGCCACTTTCTCTTTAGCTGGGAGGAATTTTCATCTGGGGCTCACACTCCATAGCACAGAAACCCTTCTCTTCTACGTAGCAGACCACTGCCTCCTTTATGCTGATAATGGCTCCTTCTCTGGTTGGCTTCAATGTGGCCTTTGACATCCTGGTTATTCCATCCTCCTGTGTCGCCTCCATAGGCGCCTCTGGTTCTGCTGCCACCAAACTGCTCCTGCTGTCTACTAAAGGCCTGTTCTCTGTAGAGCTCCACATGGGTCAGTCCTCAACCCTCCCACCCTCTGCACGGTTATTTATAACAACTCTCCCACAGAGATTTTTCCCCAGACTTGACAATTGTTACCAGGTCCTGGCTTTACAGTGTCATGTCAAATGGAGCTCTGCTGATTTACACCTGCTAAAAATCAGTTTTTCAGCCTGGCAGATTCTCTCAGAGTTGATAAATACAGTAGTTATTTAGCTGTGAATACTGTACCCCAAACCTCTCGAAAGACAGATAACTAGGCCTAAGATAAGAATGGTATTAAATATAAGAGTCACCAAACCACAGCCTCATACCATTAGGGAGGCCTTGTGATAGCTGCCTTCCCACAGGAAAAGGGAAAGAAATGACTAATTCCTAAAAGGATCCGGCAGGAGGCATAGGAGAGATTCTGGCCTTGGCTACACTTGAGAATTCACAGCGCTGCCGAGTGTAGTCGCGCCGCCAGCGCTGCGAGAGCTCTCTCACAGCGCTGCAAGTACTCCCACCTCTCCGAGGGAAATAGCTTGCAGCACTGCGAGCGAGCGTGCAGCGCTGCAGGCGCTGATTACACTGGCGCTTTACAGCGCTGCACTCGGGGGGGGGGGCGTTTTCACACCCCTGAGCGCAGCAAGTTGCAGCGCTGTACAGCGCCAGTGTAGCCAAGGCCTTATACTCCTGTTATGCTGATAAACACGGGATCTTACGTCTACAGGGTAGTTCAGCCGACACCTTTCCCCTGCAATACATTTTAAAGTTAAAGTGGACTCTCTCTCTTTCAGGCTAGTTTAATGAGACTCCAAACTATTGTGCAGCGTTTTAGCTGCAACCTGTTGTCAAGTCACCTGGCACCAACACTGCTAACACCATATCCCAACAGGTTCAAAATGTATCTGGAATTAGGAAAGCACGATATCTTGATTTACAGGAAGACAAGGCAACTTTGCTTTCAGGCTGAGATCTGAATAATTGTAAAATTAATGGGAGCTGGGTGTTCAAATCCCATAGATGGCTCTGAATAATCTCAGCCTAACTGCCCCATTACGTATACCCAAAGCCCAAAGGAAAATACCATCCATTAACAATTGTATTCGGAGTGTCTTTCAGAAAAGAACTACGAGTAACAGGAGAAAACCAGTTCAAGCTTCATTTCACCATTGGAAAAAGCAATTAAAAAACAACAAGGAACAAAGTTTAATCAGCTCTTGGATCAGTGGAGGTAAGATACAGGATGAGCACTCACTTCAGCTAGACTCTGCCCCTATGGCTTTTAAGGTCCAGCATCAATTAGATCAAAAGAGACAAGATAGGAAGAAGTGAAGGGAAGGGAAGTTGTGCAGTCCTCATCTATTCCCAGCATTTGCAACTACAGCCGTAGTAAAAATTTCAACCCAACTGGCACCACAGAGAGGAAAGAGAGAACTAGCTCAATTGTTGCATTATTATTTCAGACAAATCATTTAAGTTAATCATCTTTGAGAGTTATTTTCTCTTGCAAGTTTCATTTAATCAAACTGCGTAGGCAACAGCTAGCAAGCATAAAAGGAAACCACCACGTTTTAATGCCTCTTCAGGGGTGGGGGGGAGGAGATATAATATAAAATAAGCCAACTTGTGTTTTTATTATTGGATTCCGATAAGTACAATTTAATTATTCACAGCATGCTCGATAAGCTGTTAATCCATTCTCAACAATGCTGGATGCATTGACTGACTAGCGCATCCAAACAGTGGGTGAATAAAAACAAAATCTAGTTTCCTGCCTCAGTTTCTTTGTTAACAACACTAAGCAGCAGAAGAAACTGATGACTTGCCAACTAATTTTGTAGTTTTCCTGAATTCCTTCTCTGGCTCCTCTCAGCCAGCGTACCTCAAATAGGACACTTCAGGAAGAGTGATGATGGCTAATGATATGTGCTTTCCTCGTGCAATGCAGTATTAGACAGATGATGAATCTGGACCTAAAAGGTCACTCTCAAAGAGGACAGGACAAATAGTTCTAGATGTCTGAAGACAAAGTTTAAACTATTCTTACTGCTATGAGCTCTCAATGAGCACATGAATGCCAGCTGCTGTAGACTGCAACAATCACCCCTTGCTCTCATTCTTGGTCAGAGTTGTGCCAAATTCACAGATTATTCATTTCACACCATTTGCACAAACAATTCTGCTGTTTTATGCACCTCCCCCCTCCAAACTTTGCTTTATTTGCAAGCTTGAGAAAATGGCTACTTCCAAACCAAAAATGCTCATTCTAAAATCCAAATTACATCTTCAATCAAAAAGGGGTCCTTTTTGATTGAGAAACAGGTCCATTTATGCTTTAAAAACTGCAGCTTAACAAAACTGTCCACAACAATGGGTCTATTTTTGAGTTTGTAACAAAGGCAAGAATGCTTGATTAAATGTAGATTTGCATCATGAACATTTCACGTCTACACTTAAGCCTCCATAGTGGTCTGGTTATAGTAAGGAACTATGTATAGCAAAATTCTGTAACACACCTAGATGACTTAGGAGCCTAGGATCAGATTTTTAAAGATATCTAGGCACTTAAAGATGCAGATAGGCACCAGAGAGATACCTACTGGGATTTTCACAAGCATCTGGGCACTTTTGCAACTCGTACTAGGCACTTATATTTTGCTGATTCTACAATACAGTTGACGCTCCAAGATAGCTGAGTGAATAAGCAGGTTGCCCTAACCTCAGCAGCTGCTTTTAAAGTTGCATTTGAAGAGTTCATCTAGCCATCATTGAAAGCTGTTCAATCAAACTTCTGGCCAGTAGGGTACCAACCTTTAAAGATTATACACTGCTAATAATTGCAGCGGGGTTACGCATTTTCTTATAACCCTCCAGTAATAGAATGTAAGTTTTCTGTGAAGCTGTTGAAATTCATGTCACTTCACCGTCAAAACCTTCCACACAAACACATGCAATGCAGAGTACCCTCCAGGACTCAGAGATATCTGACTACAGAGCTGTTTTTGTTTTTCTCCCAATCACATGCAGCTATTCTGCCTTGGAATGAAGGACACAGAAGGTGTCCTCTCTGCATACATTCTCTGTGCAGAGAAGCCTCTGTGTAAAGTTTAATGCTCTTTTTATTATATGCATGCCTCAAATAATTATTCAATCAAAGGAACTTTCAGACAAGATTATGTGAAAGCAACAGAATGTCATCTGTTCAAGAATCCTGAAGCCCAAGCAAAATTTTACTGACATCTAGTGGTCACTAGTGTCTCACTAGAATATAGTTTCCCCAAAATACCTAGCACTATTATTCAGAAATCCTGCCATCACCAAAGAAATTTATTCATATAACAGGGTAGTCATTTCCTAGTAATAAGCAAGAAAGAATAATGGGATATATTCTGAGTTTTTCTTGTGATGAGCAACAATAAATCACTTCGTAGTTCAGGTCACATTTGGGAAGAAAAATGTCTTGCGATCATTAACTTTTGTTCAGTTGACGATTATATATAGTCAAGTTTTAAGTAATTGAACCAGTAGCATTTAATTAGCTCTGAAAACCTATATGAGATCATGAATCATAGACTTTCCACCTTTATGAAGCTCCCTTACTAGGTTAAAAGTGTATTTCTCTTTCCATGTGTGATCCATCTTGAATATCTAACTAGGTGCTTTTGATATATGGATTACAGTCCATATATCATACATGCAAACTACTGTAGATGTACGGCCTCTTACTTTATATAATTGAGTTTCGTGTCTTGCTTCACTGAGCTGTTCCAAAAAGAAGAGAGAAAAAAAACCCAACGACTCGTGTCCGTGATGGAACTGCCACTACTTGCTTTAATTTAGCAAACTCCTCCAATCCCTCCTTTCTCGAGAGAGCCAGCATCCTGGACGACAACCTGGACAACTAGCCAGGGAAATAAAATAACAGAGAGCATATTTCTTGCTGAAGTTTGGGATACAGAAAACTGCTATAATTTTAGATCTGACACATGCTGACGACAAATTTCAACATGCCTAGAGCAGCAATTGATGGAAGGCCAGTACTGTCTCTCTGTGCAACAATGCTTCAAACTGCTTCATTACTTTCTAACTAGAAAAGGCATTTCAACTCAACTAATATTTTGGGGCATGTCCTTAAGGCCCAGTTTTTTAAAGGTATTGAGGTGTTGCTGTGCTCAGAGTTGCAATGCTTAATTGATTTAGGATCCTAAATTTCATTCTCAAAAGGGATGTAGGCATTTAGGAGCCTAAATCCCATTGACTGTCAATCTCTAAAGCCCTTTTGAAAATTAGATTTAGGCTCCTAAATCAGTTGGTATTGCAATGCTGAGAGCATTAATGTCTAAATACATTTAAAAATTTGGGCCTGAATCTAAACACTATCAAACAATGCACTAAACATCTCACAGGCTATGTTAAGTTTCAGTGTTTATATTATATTACCTAAACCACAATAATCAGACACAAAAGTCTTTTAAAAGTTTTTATTCAGCTTTAAGATGTGTTTCTGAAGCGGTCACTATCCTGCTATCACAGATCTTGTTTATAAGATTGGAAATTTTTTGCCAGAAAAGAAAACCACAACCAAAGGAACATCAAAAAAATTTTTTGGAGGTGAGAGATTGAGCAGATCATGATTCATAAGTGTCAAAGTGAAAACATCACCCAATATAAATATTTAGCTTATTCTAGAAAAAAAAATGGCTTCTATTACAAAAACCTCTCTTTAAATAGATTTTATAAAAAAATAAAATTCAACTAAACGGATTTAATCTCTCTGTTCCTTTTTCAACTTAATTTTAGAATTGTTAAAGAAACGTGTAAGTTTCTGCAGACTATTTCTTTCAATTTAAAAAGTGTAAGGGGTTTCAATTTATACAGTAAAAAAAGCACTGAAAGCAGAATTGCTTTATAAGATTGGCAATAACTCATCTTTAGTTGAAATACTTGCGTTCAATTACCATCATAAAATGTAAAGATTGTTGCTCTCAAACACACGGGATAGCCATCTTACTTATGCACAACATTTACACAGCTAATTGGCTTAGAGCCCCGTGGTCAGTACAACTTGCTCAGACGGGAAAGGATGTATGACATCCATTATATACGCATCCACTTTGAAAGTATGTTTGTCATGTGGACAGCAGAAATTTCAATCAGAATAGACTTAGATTTACAAACATATCTTACATTATTTGGTGGAAAATAAACACTGCCCAGTTCATGTTACTCTACCCTGTAGATAACATTTCTATTAGCTTCAATTGTGCAGTTCACATCAATCCTGGGGTTTTAAGAACATTTTCTTAGCTTTGCTAGGTGTCATGTTACTGTTCTCATCTTCATCCTGTAGCACACGCTGGTCTCTCTTTTTCAAGAATTTCTTCCCGATAGTTCCCACTAAGGTTTCATATCTGTTAAGATATTTAAATTAATACACAAATCACTGTCAAGTATAGGGGTAGCCATGTTAGTCTGGATCTGTAAAAGCAGCAAAGAGTCCTGTGGCACCTTATAAACTAACAGACGTATTGGAGCATGAGCTTTCGTGGGTGAATACCCACTGTGTCAGATGCATGCATTCACCCACGAAAGCTCATGCTCCAATACGTCTGTTAGTCTATAAGGTGCCACAGGACTTTGACACAAATCACTATTATTCATAAAATCAAAGCAAGTCATAAATCCTATCAGCAATACGAATCTGTGGTGCAACAGAGGACTGCCAATGCCACTCCTCTTACAGCACTCTGTTAAGAGACACAGCTACTGCCTGTATCAAGATATCAGAGTATTAAGGGGCCAATTTTGCCTTCTGTCACGCAGTGTGGTACAGAGTGACAGAGTAGAGAGTACAAAGGTGTAGCAGAGGGTAGAAAATGGCCCCAAGTTATTTCCCTAGGACGTAATGAAGCTATTCCACTGAACACATTCTTCAAAATTCTTATTTAAAAAAATCTTGTGCACAACACAAAAGTTTGCTCTTTTATAAACACTCTGATGAGAGTGCAGCAACACATCATCTTGGTAATTTTAACTATGCCATAAAACATAAATTACCTTCTGGCCATTTCTTCATCTGATACGTCAGCCTCGGCTGTATCATCTGCTTCAATTTCTTCTTTCTTGTACCTAGAGTTCATTTGGATCATTAACTTCTGAAAATGAAATGGGAAATCAGTTTACAGTTAACTCTTTCACAGAATTTCAATTATATAGATATTACTGATAAGAAACTCATTTTTAAAACGGACAAGCGGGACTCTTTCCCCTGAGTTTTAACTGAAGCTGCTTTCCTTTGTTTGTAGTATAAACTTAGGGCTAGGATCATGGATTTACCATGAACCGTGAATAAAAGGGAGCACGCAGCCGTGCTTTGCCGCGAGAAGACAAGGGAATGAACTGTGACTGGCTGCTTCCCCCTTGCTCCACGGGCTGGTAGTGATAGTGATTTGCCAGTGCAATACCTGGTGGAGCTTAGTTCCTCCTCTGTTACCCCACTGCACAGTGATTCAGATAGCTTGCGTAGGGGAGTGTCTTAGGTCCCCATACAACCCAGCATGGCCCTGAAAACAGCTCATGACTCAGTCCTTACAAAACTTAAAATAATGAGTTTTGTTATAATTTTCCTGCATCTTAAAATTGTTCTAATACAAACATAACCTATTTTTTGTTCCTTCCTTGTTTGCACACCAGCATGCGTGCCTGGCATCTGGGACTAGGTTTTCTTAGCACTCTTTACAATTGTTGGCACTCAAGTGACAATGCACTGTCGATCGTAGGTTCTACAAAAACTGTGGATAAATCTTTTTAAAAAGTTATGTAGCAGATCTGTTTTTTCATTGTCAAGTATAATCTAGTGTATATAATTCCCAGATCTTAAGGGAGGGTCAAATTTAGGAACTAAGCAACTTGAAAATGTTTATTCAGCAGGGAGAATCTGTCTGAAAAGCTTTACAATAAAATACTACTTGCATTAAAAAAAAGCCAGTGAAAATGCCAACCCTGGTGAGACAGTAATCATAATTCCCCCTAAATCACATTAGATCTGAACTCAGCATCAGTAACTTTTCATCTTAGGCAGTTATTTAGCTGCGAGACACAGATTAATGGCAGTGTTGTTGTTACTATTATAGCACCATAGACATGTGTGATGTTGAAGAGAAGTTAAAGACATCTCTGCTCGAAAGAGTTTTTATTTTAAAGGCATGATTCTGCAAGACCTTATTCACATGAGTAGTTTCCAGTCAACAGGGCTGAGAGTTTGCAAGTTTGGCCCCTAATTTAAGGAGCAATATGATGACTGAAGATCCAGACTGGAAGAAAAGTGGGAGAGCAGTGAGATTGGGCAGTTGTTTTGCTGAGCAGTGCATGGAGCATGGAGGCTTTGTTCTTTGAGGGGAGGAAAATGTATAGGAATCACGTATCATGTATAGGAACTATTGAGCTGTTGACATATGGGGGGAAAATGCCAGATATTTACCAGAAATAGCATTTTATTTATTTCCAAAATCTTGGCTTGAATCACAATCACATTGAATCACAATGTGGAAATACATTTTATTTAAGACAGCGCCTGCAGAAAGCACTGCATTGACAGAGGACCAGCAAACAAAATGAACTCCTCCATATCACCTGCTTGTACGTCTTAATGCTAATCTGGCGCCACCTCTCAGTGGAGGATGGGAATTCAGCCTCCACACTCATTCAGCTGAGATAAACAACCTGGGTGCCAATGGACACTAGTGTGTGACATGGACATGTGTCAATCTGGGACTGGAAAGACTCATTTCATAGTGCGACAGATTTCATCCCTCTTGACTTGAGTAAAAGTACCTCAGAGGTGAAAGGCTCCATTTGTTCAAATGGATCAAACATACACAACACAAGTGAATATACCACTTTTCATACACAATTTTTTTTTTTTTAATTATTAGGGACCTCATTTCACAGCTGGATAAATCAGGCACAGAGAAGTAGAGAGACTCGGACCAAGGTCACAGAGCAAATGAAAGGCAGAAGCAGGAACAAGTCTCTTAAGTACCAATCCAGTACCTAGGCTCTTACTGAGGCAGTGTGATCAAGAGTAAATACTCCCCATAACATTGTATTTTCAGTACAGAATTGCAAACATTTCATAAAATCCTTCAGTATGCTTTGCCTGCATTTTAATTTATTTTCAAATTCCTGCAATCAAACAGCTCTACTTCTAAAAGTTGAAAACAACAAGTGTGAGCACAGAGAGAGAGCGTATCAACACATGAATTAATGACCGAGTATCAACAATCCAGTTAGAAGAGCAGCTGATTTTGCTGAACAGCAATGGGAATGTTGAATAGGAGGAAGATGGGGAGTTGAGGTGGAAATTACCATTTTCATCCTACCTAGCGGAGCTCAAATTAGAAGCACGAAGATTGGACACATTAGGCAATAATCCACTTTGTGCTACAAAGTATATAAAGCTCAGTTAACTCTCACTGAAGTCAACAGAAAGACACTTCTTGATTTCAGTGGAAGTCACGCTGAGACCTAATTCCAATTTATAGTTTTTCTTAGTTACTAACTGGGGCGGTGCATTGGTGCCACCCCCTCTGGCCAAGCGTAGTGCAGCCCCCAGTGGGGCTGTCAGTCTATTCCTGGTGCCCAGGGGACGGAAAACTCTTTCTTCACTCCCCACCCACTCCACCAGGTTCCAGCTCAGGAGCCTCAAGTTAGGTAAGCAGGATCAGGGTTCTTCAACTCTGACAGTGCCTTGAGCTTCTTCCCACCTTCCCCTGGGTCTCTGCAGGCTCTCCAGCCTATTGGTCCGTTCATCCCCTCCTGGGCTGTTGCCTCTGGGCAGCTCCTTAGTAGCTTGCTGGCATGAACTCCTTTCTCCAGCCTGCTCACGCCTCTGGTAGCCACTGCACCCATCTGCTTCCCAGCCCTTTTAACCCTCCCAGCTGCTGTGAGGCTTCCAAACAGCAGTAGCTGGCCGTGCCTGTATTAACCCTTTGGTTGCTGGTCCAGTGTGGGGTACATACACTCCTTGACCCTAACAGAAGTAGAACATTTGACAGTACCTCAATTTCTGGATTGAACCCTTTAAAGGACATTCTGCCATAAAGTAGGTCTTCACATGGCATAAAGCTTCTCTCTTCTATTATAAAACTCCTGCACAACAAACAAAACCAAGTATTTGTCTGAACAGCGTGTCTTAACATAGTCACAATAACCAAAGGCAATAAAAAGCAAAACCAAATAAATTAAGTGTCTTACGCCAGATCTATGTTTGAAAAAGTTTGCTGGTATACAAAATGTTGCCGCCGCCCCCTGCCCAGCCAGACCTGAAAAACCCATCCAACCAAAAAAACACAAACAAAACCCCTCAAAAAACACAAACACACAAAACCTCACATCCCAGGTGACATTTTTATACCAGCAAATTTCTAGTGTAGAGCTGGCCTTAGTAGAGACTGGTAGGAAATAAAACCATGTGGTTCTCTCTTCAAAGATTGTTTTCTTTTCTCTTTTAATGAACAAAACAAGAAACAAAAAGAAGTCCGCCCTCAGGAATGATCACATTCGTGTACTGCAGAAGTGTTCCACCTCCTCATCCCCACCCTGCACATGTAAAATACTAAATATCAGTAACCTTATTCACTTTAATCACATGTAATTAATTCTCTGAACTCCAGATGTTAAGAAGAGACTCTCTCTTGTTAAAAAATTTCCCTCTTTTAAAGGACAAAATAAACATTTTAAAAATAGTTTTCTTATTGTTTATAGCACCTCTTCAGAAGGCAGGAATGGAAGTTTGTGCCCTTACTAGAAGATGTTTTCCTTATTGTTGCATCTCCATTAGGGATTCTGCAACTGGATATTCTTGGATTGACCCTGTGCCTGCATGAAACCTTAATGAAATCAGTGGAGCTCCATGCAGGAGCCAGATTCTCTCTTGTGGACTTGATTGCAAGATTGGGGCCTAATTAACATTTAAAAAAAAAAAAAAAAAGCAAAAGCAGCATTAAATCACCTGGTCACTAAAAAGAAAATAATTACATTGATACTAGGAAAACATACAGATGAAAAAAGGGGAAGTAGGTCAAACTCTGGACTTATAAACCTTGAGAGTGGTTCCTAAGAATAAAATGCCGCATAAGTATGCTACACCTTCCAATCTATTTTACTAATGTTACTGGTCACTAAGAGTTACTATTATTCTTGAGGTGTTTCTGGGACAGAAAAGGATTAATACACAACACTTTGCTTTGCCTCCCAGATAGTCTAGATCAGGGGTTGGCAACGTTTGGCACGCGGCTCGTCAGGGTAAGCACCTGGCGGGCCAGGCCAGTTTATTTACCTGCTGACACGGCAGGTTCGGCCGATCACGGCCCTCACTCGCTGCGGTTCGCCATCCCGGGCCAATGGGGGCGGCGAGAAGCGGCGCGGTCGAGGGATGTGCTGGCCGCAGCTTCCCGCCACCCCCATTGGCCCGGGACGGCGAACCGCGGCCAGTGGGGGCCGCGATCGGCCGAACCTGCCGCGTCAGCAGGTAAATAAACTGGCCCGGCCCGCCCGGGTGCTTACCCTGGCGAGCCGCGTGCCAAACGTTGCCGACTCCTGGATTAGATATACATAATGAAAAAATATGACAAACTTACTCCTTTTCCTTGAGTTCTGGTAAATCCAGATACCAGTGCTCTTCACTGATTATCTTCTTTTCCTCCTCTTCTAGTTGTTTTTTGGTTTCTGAATCCAATCCCCTTTGCATGAACTGAAAGAAACACACACAAAGATTTTTCTGCATAAAGTTTCTTTTTCCCAAATATAATTTACAACTATTTAATGTTGTAAGGTTGCCTGACATTTATTGTTCATGCAGTATTTCATGAAAAACGTTAAGAAGTTTTGCCTGACTCAACGTTAGGGCAATTGCCAACATACAGACAGAAACAACGGCAATATTAAAATTCAGTTGCATCACCACTTATATACCCAGGTGACCAGCACTTTAGTAATACCAGAGATAGTTTTGACTTCCTTGGCATATTTCCATCCTGCAATTCCTGGAGGTTTGGCAAAGGACCGAGGAAAATTTAACGATTTCAAAGCTGTTGCTGCATACCAGATGCCAAATGGTTATACTCCACCACATAAAGAGGTCAGGGGACAAACTGGACCTGGCTTAGGCCAGGTTAGCATTTTTTTTTTTACTGTATTCTTTTGAGGGAGTCCCTTTGTCCTCCAGATTCTAAAATTTAATAAAAAAAAAAAAAAAAAAAAAAAAAAAAATTAGCCTCTAGCCCACGAGGCTGCAAAGAGAGCCTTTATGTTAAGTGAATGTTAGGCCTGGTCTTCACTTAAAAATTAGGCTATGTCTATACTTAAACCACTACAGCAGCACAGCTGCATCTGCACCACTAGAGTGCTTCAGCATAGCCACTCGCTACAGCAGGGGTCGGCAACGTTTGGCACGCGGCTCGCCAGGGTAAGCACCCTGGCGGGCCGGGCCAGTTTATTTACCTGCTGACGCGGCCAACACATCCCTCGCCCGCGCTGCTTCCTGCCGCCCCCATTGGCCTGGGACGGCGAACTGCGGCGAGTGGGGGCCGCGATCGGCCGAACCTGCCGCGTCAGCAGGTAAATAAACTGGCCTGGCCCGCTAGGGTGCTTACCCTGGCGAGCCGCGTGCCAAACGTTGCCGACCTCTGCGCTACAGCAACAGTAGGGGTTTTCCTGTCGCTGTAGTTAATCTACCTCCTGAGAAGCAGTACCTAGAAGATAGAAGAATTTTTCCATCGATTTAGTGTTCTCTGCGCCAGGGATTAGGTTGGTTTATCTACATCGTTCACAGGCGTGGATTTTTCACACCCATGAGAGACATAAATGGGTCAACCTAACTTTTTTAGTGTAGACCTAGCTACATTGTTAAGGGGTGAGAAAAATTCACACTGCTGAGTGCTATGGTTAAGCTGACCTACCCCCCAGTGTAGATGCCACTCAGGGAGGTGGATTAACTACAGCAATGGGAAAACTGTAGGAAGTGTCTACACTATGACCGTAGTGTAGATATGGCATAATGCAATGATGTTTGAGGAGTTCACAGAGAGACCGGAACAATAGCTTGAAGAAGTGTAAGCTGCCCATTTCATCTCCATGAAGTGTTAACTCAAGTGCCCACTGAGTACAATTAAAAGTCAATGTTAACTATTTCAGTGACCAAACCATGACCGAACGTTGAAGGTTCACTTTCTCCACAACGAGAAAGGCTATAAACATTTCTTTTAAAATTAATGCTTAGGGTTTGACATCACCATGAATGGAGTTGGGGCCTCAGGCCTGGTCTACAGACAGCTTTTGTATCAGTATAAATATGTCTGTTAGGGGATGTGATTTTTTTACCCACAGTAATACCGATACAACCCCTAGTGTAGATGCAGTTATATTGTTATAGCGTATTCCTCTTACCGAAGGGGAATAAGTTATACTAGTATAAGCACATTTATACCAGTATAATTAGGGCCCTACCAAATTCACAGTCCTTTTTGGTCAATTTCCCAGTCATAGGATTTTAAAAATCGTCAATTTCACGGTTTCAGATGTTTACATCTGAAATTTCATGTGTTGTAACCATGTGGGTCCCAACTCAAAAAAGTGTCGTGGGGGGTCACAAAGCTACTGTGTGTGTCGGGGGAGAGGTAGAACACAGGACATGTGGGAGGTCATCACTTTTGCGGGGGGACAGGGCTGGCCGGGGCCCATGGTTGGGGGGTGCTGTGGTCTCCTCCCACCCCCCCGCCAGCCCATGGCCCCTTTAAACCTCAAGCTCTGGGTTTGGAGCCAGGGAGAGGCAGGGCTGGGGGCGCCCCAACCGGGAGCTCCTACCATGTGCTGGGCTCCTGCTGCTAGTCCCGCGAGGGCCAGGGGAAGAGATACTCCCAGGGCTGGATTAGACTCACCTCCGGGAACCTCCCCATGCCGCAGTAGGGGAGGGGCAGGGGCCGCTGCAGGGAAAGAGAAAGTCCCGTCCCTCCCCAGCCCAGAGGGGACTAGCAGCCGGAGCCCGGCGCATGGTAGGAGCCCCCGAGTGCGGCACCCCTAGCCCTGCCCCTCCCCTACAATAGCCAGATATCACAGGGGAGATTTTTCACGGCCATGAATTTGGTAGAGCCCTAAGTATAATTGCATTCATAGTAGGCGGGGGGAGGGAGGGGTAGGAGGAGGGGAAGGGGAGACAGGTGTACCTCTAACTGCACTGGTAAAGCAGTACAACCTGTATTTAGACAAGCCCTTAGGCACATCCCTATCACACTTACATCTTTATCTGGCATTAGCCATGAGAACATCCAAACCTTACCAGAGAAGATGCTAGCAAAGCACAGCAGAGCATGCATGACCCTATTTCAAACATCTGCACAATCTACTGACACAAATCATTTTGGTGTCCCAAGTAGACAGAGCTTGGCTTGTGGATGGAAATTGCAATGTGCCACTACTTCCCCACCCCCATACAAATATATACATAAATGGACAATCAGAAATTAAAAGTTGGTTTATCACTTTTCAGGCTATGCAAAACAGTAAGTGTATTATTTTAATTTTGTTTATTTATATATTAATTCTATAGCATAGTCTGAAAAGTGATAAGCCATCTTAATTTCTCATTTTCCATTTTTACTGCTATATGTACCCAACTCTGTGTGAGTTTCTTAAGTAAAGAAAATGGAGTTTTGTTTTCTGAAAGAATTCAAAAACATGCCATAGCCTTCCATTTAAAATTACAGTATCTGGATTTTCTCAGAAGTGAGTAAAATGAGGGAGTCTATGTGGAAAAACATGTTAATCAAGGAAACTGGAATCTCAATGGGAGAAATTTTATTATAAGCATCCAATTAATGTTCATTTTTATTGATTATGTTCCTAAAAACAAATGACCTGGGAGATCCCTTGGATAAAAATATCTGGTCACTTACATTTAAAATGATTAAAAAAAAAATACAGATTGCAATAATTGCAAAGCACATAAAACATGCTGAGTGTTTCTTTGGGTCAAAGTTTAGTCTCCATAGAAACACAGATTTAAGCCTTTGGTAAGCAGTGACTTGTAATTGTGCTAATTATTCTGCTACCTTTATAGAAAGTGAACTCTGCTACAACTAAGGATTGAACTGAGATTGCAAAACTCATTTCACTTAGTACTTTGAAGGACTATGGCCCCAAATAACAAGCTAAAAAAGGAATGGCACAACTAAAACGAAGCAAACAAGCCATGAAGGCGCTGCTATATTAAGTTATAAATATTTAATGAATATTTATATTTTTAAAAAATTAATGGCGATTCCGCTTCTGTGTTGTTCTGCAGAAACAGAGAGAGCATCAATCATGCCAGTGTGTACTCTACTGAATTATGTGTTGCATTACACGACATGAACCAGAGTCCATTAGCCACTGAGCTGAGACTAATTTCACTTTGGACTTGATGCTAGATTCACAATTCCAAGGGCGATGGCTAGGTCGGTACTTCATTAATATCCCTCTCTCATGCTACTACATTTATGAGTTGGGAAAAGAGTGGGGGGGGGGGGGGGGAAAAGGGAGGGACAATGGTCTAAGTTCACCCCGTTATAGGATATTCTTCTAGCAGTCAAAGGAGAACTGTCCAGAAAAATCAGTGCACAACAAAATCCAAGGCTAGGAAATATTTCGAGTCAAGGCAGCTCAACCAAATGTGACAAGCAAAGGGAATATTTTAAATTAAAGATATAAAGAAAAAGAGTTTGAACATTTATGTTCATGATAAAGAGGCCAGCACAGATGGCTCATGGGAAGAAAGGAATTTCCAGATGGTTTTCAGCAAAGAAATCCCAGTTCTGCTAATGCAAGATTTTGCTGAAATAAGGAAGGTAGTTCACAGTATGTTCCTGGATCAAAACAACGGGAACCCTGTAGTTCATAAAACCACTGGAGACTTCTTATGGGAGTCTAAGGAGTTAGATGTTTGGCTACAAGTGAAGATACCGTGGTACTCAAGACAGTGTTATAAATGCCATTTCACCAGGGGTTAGCACAGCCATTTTTTCTAGTATTTGTAGTAGAGCTACAAAGTGGAACTTCATATCATCAGTTTAGTAGTTACCACAGAAGAACTATGAATTTTCTTTAGCCAAACCTTCCAATGCCATCATTGCCAGTGCCATGTTGTTCAGTATATTTCTAGAGCGCTAACAATGAACATCTGAGAAAGCTGGAGAACTGATGACGAGAGCAAGCGAAGCTAGAATTACCTGATGCTAATTTTTCCTTAAAAAGGGTTAATTCTATATATCTTTAAAAATTCCTAACAAGGACAAGAGGGGCATTCACTACATAACTGACCTTATAAACCAAAACAAATAAGAAAAATGTCAAGAGACAATCTGGGTGAGGTAATATCTTTTATTGGACCAACTTCTATTGGTGAAAAAGATAAGCTTTCAAG